AGTGCCCGGCTCATTGCATCCCCTCTGGGCACAGCTGCTGTCAATATGACTTATCAACGTTGTCAGTAACCTTGATCATTTAAGGTAGTGTCCATGAGGTTTACCCAATGAAAAGTTGCTCTCTTCCTTTTCATACTCTTTTAGAAGCAGTTACTAAGTCCAGCTTACACCCAAAGAAAATTAAGCCCCACCTCCTGGATGGAGATCTATCAAAGGATCTGTGACATACTGTCTCCCTGAGGGGGATTGCCCTTGCCCTCCCCCACTCCCTCCCCGAGGCAAGTTCACTCTGGATTCCATGAGACCAAATAACAATAGAATGTCAGGAGTAAAAGGGTTTCTACCAAGCTTCATTCTCAAGGTGACAGGTTGTGTGCTGGAATCACATCTGCATGCTGGGCATTTACAATCGTCTCTGTCTCTGCCACCAGGCCTCTCCGCCACCTGACAGCCCCAGAGCAGGGGGCGGAGCTCTCTATAGAGTCAAAAATAGCTCACTGCCAACACGTGTGCAAGCCTGCGCCTGTGAGCATTGCAGATGCCCAGTGGGCAAGCAGACCAGGTCAGGTGAGGATCCTGGCCCTGGTAACCTCCATTCTCCCTACACGTATGTTAAAACTACCGCAGAAATTAGTCAATATTTTGGGAGAGTCTATGTAAATATCCTTCTCCTACTTAGAGGTTTGCCCACTAATCTTAGGATTCACCAGATTTCGCCTGCAGCAATTACTGCTGTGATGTTCTAATGATGACTTTCTATTGCCCTGATTTCTCCGATATTTTTTTAGTTTGGAATTCTTCTGTAAGAAAGATTTGCTCCTTCTCTTGCATTTATTTATTTATTTTTTCGATCATTTATTTATGTCAGTAAAGACTCATAGAGATTTATTTTATTCTTTCAGTTATAATCTAATACTATCATTACTTATTTTTTTGCTCATATTTTCCCAGCTTTGACAATTAGAACTTTCAGGCTGACTCCTCTATCCTTTTGACATGCTTTAGCCTTAAAAAAAAAATTATTTTTAGCACTTTCAAACTTTCTAGCACCACAGGTATTCCAAATTCATCTTGTATTTTCCTTGGCTCAGCTTTACAATAGACATTCCTCCAAGGAGCCCTGGTTTCTTTGATTGGAGAATGAAGTTACTGGAGAATCATTGTTTTTAGGATCTCAAAAGACAGACCTACGTCTAAGTATATGGACCCATATATACACACATACCTATGTTAATTTCTGCATCTATCTGCATATATACATGAAACATGTACTTATATGTGTGTACATGAGTGTGTATATGTGTGTGTAACACACACACATATATATTTATATCTATCTCTCAGTATAAATATAAGACTTTACTGTTACCCTCAGAGCTACTTGGAATCAACTGGCCCAATACTGACACCGAGCATCATCTTAAAGGCTCCACCTTGCTTTGTTCCTAAGATTAGCAACTGTTATGGGTTGAATTGTGTCCCCCAAATGGTATACTGAAGCTCTAACCCCCACTACCTCAGAATGACCTGATTTGAAAGTAGGGTACTTGCAGATGTAATTAGTTAAAATGGGGTCATATTGGATGGAGTATGGTGGATATTTATTCCAACATGACTAGAGGCCTGATAAGAAGAGGAGACAGAGACACAAAAGGAAGATGGCCATGTGAAGACAGAAGTAAGGATTAGAGTTATGCTGTCAGAAACCAAGGAACCCTTGGAGCTAACAGAAGCTGGAGGAGACAAGGAAAGCCGCTTCCCTAAGGCTCTGGAGGGAGCATGGTCCTACCAACACCTCAGTTGCAGACTTCTAGCCTCCAGACTGTGGGAGAATATCTTTCTGTTGTTTTAAGCCACCCAGTTTGTGATACTTTGTTACAGCAGCTACAGGAAGCTAACTCAGCACCAATCCGATATTCTTTTCTACCCTGGATGGTCTGATAATACACAAATTATCCATTTTATGCCAAAGGCTACCTCAGTAATATCACACTGAAGACAGCATGGATCCCTCCTAGACCTCTGTCTTGGTAGCAAAGATGGTATCTTATTTTTTGTTACATCCCTATCTCCTGGAGCAGTGGTGGAAACAGCAGAGGTGTGCACTAGCTTGAATACCTACAGGCTCCCTCTGTCAAACCCTCAGACTAGACAGGGGGTGTCTCCTTCCTACTTTTTCCACCCCAAGCTCTGCTGGGTGATGCCCATCCATCCAGCCCCCCTTCTTCCCCTTCTTCCCCTTCTGCCCCCCTCTATCACTCACTGGACATGAGCATAGCATAGTCCTAGACACTAGAGAATTAGCAGTGAACAAGAGACAAATGTGCTTGTCATCTTGGAGGCTTACATTCGAATGGCAGATAAACATCTAGCCTCAGGAACCATAAATCACCCATGTCTAGCTGACAATTAGGTAGTGGCACAGGATGATCCAACACACTTTGGGAATGGCTCCCATGGGTTACTTGGCCGGCTGTGGTCTGGTGGGCTCCTTCCCAGCAACCAAAGGCCTCAGCTGAACAGCTGCACTTTCCTTATTCAATTTTTAATTTCCTCTTCTCTTCCTAAAAGGAAGAGTAAAGGTGGAGACAGAATAAAGGAGAAAACAAACTGGCCAGAAAGAGAGTCTAGAGGCAAGAACGGGAAAAATGATTTGCCTGTAATGTATTTTATAGCCAATGCTTCCAGAGCTGTGTCAAGCTAATACCTTACCTCTGTTAATATCCTTATTATTCTTACATAATTAATTGAAAACACAACTGCATAATAGTAATGGCTAGCCAAGACTGAGAGCTTGCTTTATGCCGGGAAGTGGTCTAGACACTCACCAACTTGATCTGACTTACTCCTCACCACAATTTTCTGAGACAAGCACTCTTATTTTTCAATTCACAGATGAAGAGCTGGATGTTCAGAGAGGTAAGATAATTTGCTCCAAATCCCACAGTGAATAAATAGCCAAGTCCAGACTTGAATCATCCACTCACTAATTCAAATCCCAAAAGCTCCTCCATGTGTTTGGGAGAACAGATTTACTTCAGTCCCTGGATGAGAATACCAAGTGGAAAGGGGAACATCTCCCCATCCAGGAAGAATGGCTACCTTGCTTCTAGGAGTGCACTGATTCTTTCCCCGTTGTTTTCATGCGGCACAGTTGGCTCCTCTTTCCTCCCATGATTGTTCAAGCCTCTTTAGAGACAGTCTTTACCAAAAGATGGCCACAACCTCTGGGATTTCTTGCTCTTCATCAAGTCAGAGCACTAGGATTCAAGAGACCAAGCTAGGACGACTGTGGAAGCAGAGAAAGGGAAAGATGTAAAAAAATGCCAGGATTCCCAGATGTACATTACTATTCTAATTTGGAAAAGAAAGAAGGGCATGGAAAGAAGTCCATCCAGATCAAACTCTCCCAGACACCAACGCATTCTTCAATGCACACGGAGAAGTGTGAGTAATAGCACAGTGCTAAACTTGTTAGTGAAGTGTTATTTTTTCATTAGAAGGAAATAAAAATTATGTTCACTTATAGACACTACTGCCTGAAAGGCCAGAGCCAACAAAACAAGGAGTCTAAAGAGCATTACAGCAAGTTCCCACATGTCACAATAGTGACATCACCACCATCACATACTTGCCAGCAGTGAAAATTAGAAGCCTTATATAAAACATTAGAGTTGTAGTAATCTATCACTACTTTTTCTTACCTGTAGCCTAATTTCCTTTTGGTCCTACTTTGAGCAAATGCCAGCTTTTAGAGCTGATCTTATTGTACTTGAGGAAGTATACTTACACTGGCCCCACCAAACCACAGTCTAAGCACTTTGCTTAATACCATGGCAGTGGATGCAAGCAACATTAGATGAAAAGGAAAATGGAAATAGCCATCAGAACATATAAGACAGACTAGTCACTGAGGCTGCTGCTCAAAAGAGAAAATAACTATGATGAATGTTGCTAAGCACTTTTGCATTTCAGTCCTTAATAACTCCATTAGTAACACAAGATGTGATTAAACTACATTTTGAGATTGATGAGATGTCTCGCCTCACTTCTGAATAATCAGCCTTAGCATCCATGCCTTCCAACACAAAGCAAAAGTGACTATCCTTTGTCCCATGGCTGGGATGCATATTAGAACTCAGTGGTATGTGTCATATTGGGAAATCTAAGGGTTCTCTGCTAACCCACTCATCCACAGTGTCTTCAAGCTTTAACTAAAAAAGCAATAAATTAATAAATAAGCATACATTCTTTCTCCAAAATGCCTCTGTTCAGTTACTATATATGTATATATACAAAGTGCTAGAAAACTATGAATTTTAAATATACTTAAAGACCTTGAATAAAATGGTTCTACAAATATTCAACCCTCTGATTAAAAAATAATGCTGCTTTGGGGGATCCTGTGTGAGGGTGACCAATTCTGCAGGCCAGTCCCAGATCCTGTATTGCGGACAACAATCCTTTGGTTTATAGATGCTAGAAAGTTGTTCAGAGTGAGCTGCCAGCTAATGGCTTCTTGCTCTTTCCTCCAGTTACCCAGCACTCCCTGGTTACCCAGAATTCCCAATAGCCCACTATTCATAGTTATCCAGTGCTCCTTGATTTCTCAGCATTTCCCAGCTGTTAAACATTAGGCAGAAATAGTCTGCAGGAAAATGTCCTCTTCAGGATTCTACCAGTAAAGTTCTGGAACTTTTCATCTCCTTAGACAAGCAGTTCTGCACAAGAGACACTACTGTATGAAAGTCAAAGCACGGACTCCCTAAGATAAATTTCAACTATGTAATTTCCCATTAAAGTGACTTTGGGTAAATTAATGTCTTCATGCCTCTGTTTTCTCACCTGTCATTACAATGATTCAATAAATGAAATATGCAAAGTGCTTAGAAGAGTGCCTCCTGGCATTTTATGGCTATGAGAGCTATGTAAGTGTTTACAAGAGTTTTCAAAGATTTCTCCAGTCAAAACAAGCAAATAACTCACTCAGTAAAGGAGGAAAAACCTGACTCCAGAAGGCACCCTCAGGATCTACATTTGCTGCTTTTATATTTCAGAGGAAGCTACTGATCGAATGAAGGTAGAAATTGCCAAAATTCAAATTCCTATAACATCAAACTGTTACTAATTATGGTTCTGGTCATATGCCATATGTTTCCCAGAAATAACAAATGTTCCATGGAAAAGTAAGTGGCTAATGAGGGTGGGAAAAGCATATAGTAAATGTTCTTGTTTTTCTTGGCTGCCAACTTCAAGATAATGAAATATTCAATGAAAAATATGAACATTCAACTGCAACTACTTCTAACCACTTCAGAAAAACACTCTTGAACTACTGAAAGTTTGAAACCTATGTTCAAATAGCATTGTCAAGTAATTTGTTCTGAATCTCTTATATTTTGAATTTTGAAAAATGTTACTCGTGTCCCAGGTGTTTTTCCTAGTGGAAATTATAGTGGTAGATGTTAAACGAACTCCATATGATTCTCATTTTTAGAAATACAATTTTAGAATGCTTAAGAGTTTCAACATATCCCCTAAGCTACATAGCAGAAAGCCATTTTGGCTTTAAATATAGTTTTGTTTTTGTGGGGTTTTTTTCCCCTACTAAGAATACATTTCTCTCAATTCATCAGTATTGCTATTGAACAGACTGAGTTTTTTTAGATTCCTTATAAGATCCCTTTATTTCACTTAAATGAGTTAAATGCAATGGGGTTTTGCAATTATCTCATGAAAGAAAATTAAATTATTGATCAAGTGGTCTTCATTTATAAAGGCCATAACCAGCTCTAGGAGGCTGGGTATGTTTTATTTCAGTAGATTTTAGACCAAAGAGCAGTATTTTTTAAATAAATCAGTCTGATATTCTCAGTCATTCCTATTTTTCTGATACAGGTAAGACATGATAATCCTGTAGATGCTAAGAAGTCATCAAGATTTGAAACAAGCTACTTTGGACAGAGGTGCATTTATCTACAGTCTGATATTTCTCTATGTAATAAATGTATTTAACTATTGGACGGGCAATGCCAAGTGCTAGAATTACAATGATGAAACAAGCAAACCTGGGCCCTGTCCTTGTGAAGCTTATGGTTTAGGGCAGTGCTCTTTAAAGTGTGGTCTGTGGACCAGAGCCGCACCATGAACCTTTCTTATCAGACTGCAAAAGGACAAGCATGGATATCTCAAGTAATTGTTTAGACATTATTACAGCAGTTGGACATTGCTATAACAATTCACATGAGTGATCAGGTGGATTCATCTTGTTGAATGGGGTACAGACATGTTCCCCATTCAGATACCGCTGAATTTGCATAGTAGGTTTCATGTGGCAAGGAATATATATTGGCTTGAGATGAATTGGAAATAAAAAAAAAAATCTAGCCAAGATAGTTTGAGAAGCACTAGTCTAGCGCTTTCCAAACATCATAGGAAAGAGAGAGAATTTAATTCCACCTGAGAAAATCTGTGAAAGTTACAAGGAAGAAATGATTCTTAAGCATGGATTAGAATTTGAGGGGTAGAGATCACAGCATGAGAAGACCTGTGAAGGCAGAGAAGTGCAAGGATGCCCCCGGCTACCTTGTTTATTGCATTTGGAGTGAGACCTGGGAATAAGGGCAAATGGAGGTGAAGGAGATAAATCTGCAAAGGTCAGCTGCAACCAGTTGAGGGCTTCCAGTGCCACAGAGAAGAATTAGAACTTTATTTTTGAGACAATTGAAAGTTCTTAAATATTTCTGAATATAAGAGTAACACAAAAGAATGCCCTATTTTAAAAAATAATATTGGTCTCATTTGAACTATATTCAACAATTTGAGGCAGGAGAGCTTTAGGTGAAGTAAATAATAACAGTTAAAAGAAATTTTTAAAAATAATTCTCCTAGTGTGTCATATATTAGTTATAAGTGTAAGTTAATTTATGTAATCTAAGTCTTCCCAGGCACAATATCATAGTAAAATACCACTTTAGAAGATCTAATCATGTATGATTAAGGTGATTTCAAAACGCCATTTCTTAGCTTAACACTGATAGAACACACATTCTTCTCATTTTCAGAAACTTTCATTAAACCACAGTTATTAAGGAAATATTATACCAATATACTATTGTAATAACTTAAGATAAAATGTCAAGTACCATCACCAAATGACACATGCATGGTATGTTTTTTCTCTCCATTGTTCTCAACTTCCCACACATCTAGAATTGAACTCATTAAATGGGCCTCATTTAAGTTTCTGTGTGTCACCAAAGGTTATTAATTCTTGCAGCTGACTCAATTGGAGTGTTTTGTGGTATTGATTCCCAAAAATGTATCTTTAAAAAAATAGTTGAGACACTAAGTAACTTTTAAACTTTGAGGGTAAAATATTTACAAGGTTTTAATAAATAAAAGAAGGCTCTCAAAGCATTGTCCCCTTCCCCACAGAGAAATGTATTAATCACTATATTAGGATTGCACACATTTGGCTGAATAAAAATCTAATTACTTAGTCTTCTAATTCTGGTTTCATAATATTATTTTTAATTGTGATGCAAGAACTATAGAAGTACAAAGATACCATCCTGTTAAATTGAAAGCTATGCATTTAGAATTGGAAACATTTGCAGTACAACTACAATACAAAGCTTAAATATAGCATTGTGAGTCACTGATTATGATGTACTGAAGTCTTGGTTCTCAACTGGAGTGAGTTTGCCCCTCCCATGAGCCCCTTGGCAATGGCTAGAGATTGTTGTCCACACTGGGGGGCTACACCTGGCAACAGGATGCTACAAAACATCCTATACTGCATATAACAGTCCCTCACAACAGAATGATCTGGTCCAAAATGTCAACGGTGCTGAAGCGGAGAGACCCTGTATAAAGGATTACACTAACAACATTTCCCTTATTCCTTTTGGCACATATAGAACGAATTGTTTTGATTCACGCAATCTGAAAATCAGAAACAAGAAGGTTCCTGATTAAAGATTAAACAGAGAAAGATTAAAACAGGTAACTATTATTCCCCCCTTTGACACAATGAACTACCCTCTGATTTTTGCAAGCAAGACCTCAAGGTGACCTTACAGGTGCCCTGGGTAAATTCCATTGATGGTAATACATTATATGCAGATACGCAAATATTGCCATCAGGAAATCTTCAAGCAGATCTTCAGAAAACACAGGTGTGACTGAAAACTCAAAGAAGTTCCAGATATGTATTATTTTCTGAACTGTAAGCCACTGGTAATTTCAAGATGCACCATTAGTTAAATAGCCTTTGGGAGTGTGGTAAAGAAATATCTCTCAGAAGTGTGTACATTAATTGTAAGATGTGAAACTTTGTTGAGATGGTAAGTATGCAAATTCTATAGAGTACATTAAGTGTATAATTAGATACACTAAGCTCTTTTTGTAAAAAGAAATAGACTGAAATACTCTCCCCTCTTAGATCCCTCTCAGTCAGTGATTTTCATCTAACTCTTTTTATTACTCCCTTCATCTGCCCCCAACTCCAGGAAGAGGTGGTAGAGTATAGGATGGGCAGTGTATCATTAGATCCTCAGAAACAAGAACAAATATGAATTTCACAGCCTCCCTCTCTTATTTTCTTCTCTTGGAATTTCTCCAAAGTCTTTGTGAATTAAGTATGGGGCAGAACACCTGTCCTGAGCATAGTCCTAGTGATGCTAGATCATATGACTTTATTTAAACAGAGGAATAACTACACCTAGATATAATTCAATATATATTTGAAATTACTTTCAAAATTCCATCTAATGACCACCCGCACTACTTTAAGCATAAATAAAAACTTACTACAAGACTTTCATATTTGCATATTGACATGTTATCTACTAGATATCTACTAGATATTCTACTAGAATTTAAGATGCATGTGAAAAGGGATTTTGTATTGTATTTATTGGTTGACTGACTGACTGACTGAAGGAATAACCATCTTCCAAACAGCAGTCATTAAACAACTGCAAACTCCTTTTTTTTCCACACTAATAATAGGAGACAACAGGACTCATTCTATGTTATAAGCGCTTATATTATTCGTTCAGTCATTCTCTACCAAGTCTTTCATGATCTGCCCCCTCCAGCTTTCTAGCTTTCTCTTGAATCATGTCCACCTTGCTCCCTATCAGCATGGCCTCGGTTCAGTTTCCAGGAAGCTTCAAGGTCCCTCTACCTCAGGGACTCTGCTCTGAACACTCTTCTCCCCATTCCCCACCTCTTCTGATTTTTCTGGGGCAGTCTTCCCTGATTACCTCTTAAATAGATGTACTGTCTATATTTTATGGTCTCAGTTTCCCATGTTTTTTTTCCATCATGATAATGATCACATTTGTAAAATGCCTTTGTGCAATTATTTGATTAACATCTTCTCCCAACCTCACCCCACTCAACTGCAGGAAGAAACCATGTCTGCCTTGTTCCCCATTAATATCTCCATCATTTAACACAGTGCCTGTCATATAGCAATCAATATTAATTGAATGAATACATGAATTATGTTTCTAGGAACATGGTATGTTACCAAACATTTAAGCCCAGGTTATACTATACTGTTTCCACTAGGGATCAAGTTAGTAGGTGCATAATCAACGCTTTTTACTTAACTAGAATCATCATTTATCTACTGCAAACTTCATTCTCCTATGTCTACATGACCTTAAAATAACTTGTTGCAAAATTGCTGATAATTCAACCACCGTTGTTCTTTTTTTTTTCTTAATACTAATAAAAAAGCAGTTTGGCTTATTTTTTTCCTACTGAATTTATTAGCTGCTTTGGCATTAAGAACAAGACTGGGTAGAAAATGATTGTCAGGGAATCAATTACTTGTGTGATTAGTATTTGTCTCTATGTGAAAACCTCTGGAATATGTTTTAATTATCCTCTAGATATTTGGTGTCTGTGCTCTGAGATCTTTCTCCCCATTACTGTTAGTAAAAGAAAGATACTCTGTTGACAAAATATGTGTTTTATTGATACAGAGGAATTTATGGGAGATTGAAAATAAAGAATTGTGAGCTCCTAGCCTTAGAGGATTAAAACAGTATTTTTTTAAGAGGAGGAGGAAGAGGTCTTTAGTGCAGAAAGCTACAGAAAAATACAATTCCATGTAATACTGTGTAACTGAGAAGCTAGCCACATAGGAAGCCTTGCAGAAGAGTATAGATTTCTTGGGGGATCCAGACAAAACGATTCTAGCTTAAGGGAGCTAAAGAGAGACATCCAGACAACAGGAAATCAGAAAAAATTGTAAACCTAGAGTCTATTCATATACTTCACTTTAAAACAGTTTCTTTATATAGATCTTTCTTGTCTATTATAATCAGGATCTCTTGTCACAAGGCAGTTTTTACAAGAATGTCTGGAATTCTTAAACAAAATTTCAGAAAACCCAGGAAACTGGGAAAGTATTTGCTAACTTAGGCCATCCATCTGGAAATCCCCAGTTAGGAAGTTTAGCCTTTATTAAAGAGGACACCCTAATCCCTGCCTTGTCCATTGAGGTAACAGTGGTCAAGCAGGAAGTGGCTCCTTCACTGTCTCAAAAGCTTTTCTATCAGTTTCTCATCCAAATGGTCCTCCTTTGAGTCCGGCATATGCCTGGAATCTGCAGCATGAACTCCTGCAGTCTCTCTTGCTCCTCATAAACCAGAGATGAAGTGGAGCATATATGGGGCTCACTTGAGAAGGTAATCTACAGTGAGGAATCACTGTGCCCCCAAGAACACAGGCGCAGAAGAGACACCTGGATGCTTGAGCAGCAGCAGGAATGAGCAGAGGCCAAGAGCAGACATATGGAGACTCTACCCAGCCATGTCAAGGGAAATGGTTTTTATGTCGAGTCACACTCATGCTTTACTGTCTTTTGAGCAAGAATACAAACTTTCCTATTATTCTTTAGTTTGATGTCAGAAAGATCTGAGAAAGTAGAGAAATGGCTATAGTCACGTTAGTGTTGAGACCTCCACAAGGCCTTCACCAGACCACAGGAAGAAAGAGCCTTTCGGGATGCTTGATCCCTACCAACTTCACTGCACAATTCTCTCTTGACCTCCATGAGAACCGCATTGGGGTTAAGCTTAGTTCTCAGTGCCATGAGAGAAAAAAATTAGATTTTTCTTAGCATGGCTTCAAATATTTTATTACTGTCCTATAGATCTCATTAAAAGGACTGGCCTACCAAATGTGGAAATAAAGACTTTTCACTTTCACTTTCTTGTTACATCCAGATAAGCCATTTTGCTCTTCTAATACTTAAATAAACCATTGAGACTTAAAGGGGATAAAGGAAGTGGGATGAAAAAGAGTTAAGTACATTTAAATTTCATTTTACATTAGCTTATCTCCCTTCCCTGCAGTATCACTAAATACAAAATAAGGTTTTGTTCTTGCCCACATCTGTCTTATTTTTACCATTTGTTCCTCATTTAAAACTACTTGGCAAAGTAAATATTAGACTAATATTCATGTCTTGTTTACAAACAGCTTTGTTTACCAGGGCCTAAGCCATATTACTTTAGCTTACAAATCTTGGCTGGCTCTCATCTGGGGCCATTAGTATATTTTGAAAAATTTCCAAGAACTCCATAGACCAGTAGACATCCCTTCCTGAAAAGCCAATTTCCTAAATACGACTTATTTTTATTGACCCTGTATCCAATGACCTTGCTAAATTTATTAAATACAAATAATTTGTTTCTAAAAAAAAAGCCAATTTCCAAAATATTCAATGAGTTGGCTTTTGAGACCCACATTAACAAATTAGGAAAGTAATAATGTTCTATCTTAACAGGAAATTCACTACTGGGGGTACTGCTGCCCTAATTATACTATAACAGAATTTCAAAAGAACCTTTTCTGAAGTGAAACATCCCATTTCTGCTCCGCACAATATCCTCCTTAATTTCCCATACCGAAGGAGCAGATTTGGAAAGGAAGGAAGGGCACGTGCGTATTGCCTTTTTTCCAGGAGGCAAGTCGAGTTTTTACTTCATTATCACTTCTCCTATTTGTTATTTTTTAAAGTATATTTCCTGTACTTAAATAAGGTTTCTATTTAATCAGAGTCACCACAGAACAGAATTTTTTTTTAAATTAGAAGGGGTGCGTAGTTTTCTTCTCAGTAACATACAAATTCATCAAGAGTTAAAAATGGAAATGCATACCGCATAACAAAGCTTTAATGGCAGATATAAGGGAGCAAATACTAAAATAAAAAACACATAACAGCCTAACTGGGATGCATCATCTTTGCATTCTAAATCTTAATTTACACAATTGGGAACCCAGGCATTCAGAGATTAAAAAAGTAACTCACAATATGCAGTCACACAGCACCTGGAATCAGAGCCTTCCATGGTATCACGACAGATTTTGTCATCAGCAGTTCTATAGCCCTGCGACTGAGATTGCTCATAATTAATGAAGAATTTATTTGAACATTGACAGCTCAGTAAGCAGTTCATGTAAGGCTGCTACTTTATTTCTTCTGTAGTTGCATTTGCAAACAGGAAACAGGAAACACACCTATAAGAAAACTGACATATCTCAGCCTAATTGGTCTTTGGCTCAAAGTACTAAGGGGTGGGTCTTGTGCCACAGGGGTGATAGGTACAGTCCTCAAATGAACAGGACTAGCATTTCACAGTTTAAATCCTTTGGATACATGCTATGTGGACCATTTATTACAGGGAGAAACAGGCATTCTCAATAATATTCGGGTCTTATGGCCTTAATCCTGAAAGGACTATAAACTTCAGAATAAATTCATGTATATATAAATAAATGTATCTATATACACATTATAAGATCATATATACAACATATGTGTGTGTATATATATACACACATATGTATATACATAAATATATATTAAGTAATATACTATTTTAAATGATAACTAACATATTGAGATAAAAGGCATCACCTTTTTCCTGGAATATGTATGGAAACTAGCATTCCGGAAACT